CAATGAATGTCAAAGATGAATTGATGCAATTGAATTGTTGTACTGTCAAAGAATCTTGAAAGTACCACAGTCTGCCAGAGACTAAACAAATCTGCCTTGGAAGAAGTATCGTCAGAATATTCTTTAGAATCAAGTACTTTGGGCATGGTAGCAGGGGAGCCCAATCCCTGGAGAGGGACCTTGGGCTTGGTAAAATTAGAGGGACAGTGAACAAGAGGAAGGTCCTCAACAAGGTGGAGTGGCAAGGTGGCCACAACAACAGGCAGAAACATAAGAACAGTTGTGAGGCTGGCACAGCACCCAGCAGTATTTCATGATCTTGTGCGTGTGACCTCTAAAAGTCAGTATGGACTTGATGGCAGCTGAGGACAATAACATCGTCTCTCAGGCTGCCCCACTTCCCAGTGATGCCAACTGCCCATTTGAGAGGGCTCTCAAGCCTCCTCAACCTTGATAATTCACTGATGGAATCATAATCCTTCCTAAAATCTGTTAGTTCATCATAGGGAAAAGACACAAATTAAAATCAGCTTCAGGGAGATGCACATAGAACAGAGTCCAGAAGAAATACTAAATACAGAGTCTCCACTGTTGTCCCCCATGAAATTAGGATGTGTTCTCTTGGAGTTAATGCATGACAAAATATGAGGGGGCTTCAGAAAGTTTGTAAACATTTTATTTTATCTCAATTCTATTTTTCTGTGAACTTTTTGAAGCCTTTCCATAAATAAACTGTTGCTAGCCTTGGAAATGTACGTAAACTTCGATATCCAGAGTTTTCTTGGATCTTCGTTCACAAAGATATGATTGATTGGTTGGTTACTCATATGGTTGATCTGTCTTCAAAATGGCTGTGACTCAAAGACCACACTCATTATCATATTATTGGTCTTTCTGGTGTGGTCAGCCCCCATCATGTGACTATATCCACCTTGACCCAAGATGCCCCCGCCCCCACCAAACAAAGACACTCCAATCAGGTATATTAATTTCAGAGCCAGAGCCGAGAGCTTACCTGCCAGATGCAAAGCAAAAGCCAGACCTTATTTTTGAACAGGACCAGCTTATGGGAATGTAGTGTATAAAGTATTGTTTAATATTTGCTGAACAAAAGTCTCTAATTCTGTTTTCATATGCTGTTATTTGCAAACCTTGGTTGAACATGATGGTTTTTTTCTTTCAAACGAAGTGATCAAAAGCATGCTCAGGATATTTTCAAAGGAAAAGAAAAATTCAGCTACTTTGCCTAAATTTCAGTTGAATCTGGGACAGTGTTGGCAGATAGCAGGCCCAGAACTGAAATACAAGCATTTCAGCTAAGCATTCCATTCTGCCTCCTCTCTTCTTCCTGATGGGTTTTAAATCTATCTGCACACTTATTGATACTCTCCACTGTTAAAGATACAACCCAAGTCTCCTTTCTCGGAATATTGACTAGACTTGATAAATTCATCAATATCGTGTGGTGCAAATGATGCTACATGACCACTGAGACGGGGTCCTGAAAAGGATGGCTTCTGCCTTTCTTTTTCTCAGGTTGCTCATTCGTGGGCCACGTAAGATGTGCCAGACACCATTCAGCCTACCAGCATACTGGTGAGGCTATTCCTTCCAAGAGCCCTTTGTTAACCACCCAAGGGACACAAGAAAGATTTGCCACCAAAAGCTATTGTCAATGTACCAGCCATAGAAATATGCCACACTTAAAGTGGAGCTTCAAAAAAGTACTTCTGCAATGATGAAATAGAGACCTCTGAAAATCCTCACTCCACAAAAAATGACAATACTGTCAAAACCATTAAAATAAAGCTCTTCCTCAATCTGGACATTCATCAAAGTCTTATAGCAACAAAGGGTACATGCATGTAAGACAAAGACAAGTTGAATATCTCTTAAGAGCAATGACACCATCACATTTTCATAGATCCTCATTTTATTCCCCAACTGATTAATTGAAACCATGGTTAATGGTGGAAGCCAGCACTGAGGCCATCACTAGAGGGATAGAAGGAGTTTGAAATCCACTGTAAAAAACTACCACCAAGTAATTTTCACTATTATTATTTTTAAATACTATTTTTAAATTATTTTCTCTCACAACTCTCTGGAAAAGTTTCTTTTCACAAAGTGTGCCGCCTTTCCCCTGACTAAAAGCACCCTATGGAACAGCACAATTTCCAGAGTGTTTGTCAGAAAATAGAATTCATTGTTTAATGGGGCACAACTTGAACTACAATAGTAACTGTGGCTAAGAAAAGGTCCATAGAAACTAAAGGAAATCTGTTGGTTTTGTGTGCTGTCAAGGTGATACTGGTACATAATGATTCTCCATCCCAGAGAAGAGCTGGCCATCAGGTTTTCCAGGCTGTCAGCTGTGAGGGAGCTGGTCACCAGTCCTTCCCTCCCGTGGAGCCTAGGATGAGTTTGTACCAATGAGTGCTTAATGAAAGTGCCCTAGGGAGGGAATTCGTACAGGATTCGTGCACCACTCTTGGGTGGTGCTGTCGGTTAAGCATCGATTTGCCAACCACAAGGTTAGCAGTGCAAACCCATCCATTGCCCTGAGGGAGGAGGATGAGACGGCGCACTCCTGTAGAGGTTTACAGTCTCTGAAACCTTCTGTAGGGTTGCTATGACTCAGAATCAACTCAGTGGCAATGGGTGTGGGTTGAGCTGACCCGTGTCTGGGGAATCTGTAGAGCCATACTTAGCTGTACAACTGGTCACATACTCAGAAGAGGCCTGAGAGGATGCTACACATTTACTTTGAGCTACATTTGAAGCTTGGGCCCAATTATAAACTCCTTATCAAGATAGGAGAAGTATGTCCTAACACTCACTCACGTGCCCTTGAACAAAGCAGAGGGTACTTAGAGGCTTAAGAAATTTAAGGACATCTCTGTCCAGCCATTAGCTAACCATTAACCAGCCAAGCAGACTTCTCAGGGGCTGCAAACCAGAAAGAATATAGGGTTAACAAGTACGCCAAAACATTTCTTCATTGTTATTTGAAAAGAACATTTGCTAAAAAGCAGAAAATAAATGTGGTCTATAAGGAGTCATTAGTAACTTTACCTGAGGTGTTATTACCTAAGAGAAAGGATGTCTGCTCTTACTCCAGCTTGTCAACATTTTTTTCTGTTGGCTGTAGCCAGGGTGATTAGGCACGAAAATAAATAAAGGGTCCTCAGAAGTAGGAAGTGTAAATATCTCTCATCACAGAGGACATGACATGTACACAGGAAGCCAGAAGGAATGCGTGTACAGAAGAAAGCTGTTAGAACTGATAAACAAGGTCCGCGGGAGTTGCACGATATAATACCAATATATCAAAATACCTTGTATTTCTATGTGCTAGCAATGAAGTAAAAATGAAATAAAGAAAACAATGCCATTTATAATGACGTCAAAAATAGCATAAATGGAGTCTTTGAATATCATGATCTTGGTTAAATGAGTTGGTTAAATTGTCTTCCACTGTGTTTTTTTTTACATGCTCCCATCTCTTCTCCTCGGCTTATGTCAAGCCCTTCTTAATGAAATAAATGGCCAAAAGCTTTCAGAGACACTCCAAGTTTAAGAGCTTCTGGCCTTCAACTATGAAGTGTTCTTTACATGAATGGATTTCCCCCCCTTTATCCCTGTGGAGAGAAGAAACATGAAAATAAAAATCTAGTGCCGACCAAGTTCCTCACCAAAGCATCAGAAATGCTCATTGGAGCATTGCCACTCAGTGTAAGACTGAAGCACGCTTGCTGTTTTCCAGTCCAGTCACTGAGACAAACTGCTGTCATTGCTGATATGCCTTGCTTTAATTAAGACAGTCGCCTAACTCATTTGTGTTCAAGCTTGTTATTCTTGTTGCTCTTGTTGAATCGATGTTTTCAGATTCATGTGTGTTCCATCCGCCACTTGTGTGGCGGTGGGCAATGGGTATTTATATGAGACAGATTGGTAAATTGAATGCACAGTTCATAACCAAGACTGTGAGTCTAGTGGCCCTACTCCCCCTAAGACAAGGAGTGGTGTTTCTGCAGGATTATGGTTTCATTGCCCACAAGGCGCTAACGTTTTCCATGAATAAGAATATATCAAGCTTGCTTTCTAGGATCCATCTCTCCACTATTGGTCTAGGTAACATCCAATTCAACTTGTTTCGGCTCTAGAAGTGCAGCACCTCTCTGGCCCTTTCATCTCCTTGTAGGAGAAATGCAGTGAACATTCTCGAAACAGAATGGTTAATTTTAGCTTCTTTCTGGTGAAGGTCATCCCTGACTCTAAATCTCAGGGCAAAGTAAGAAGTCCCGGTTTCTTTTTCTTATATGATGTTCTTAATACGCTTCTGACAGGAGTCACATTGCTAGACAACACTTCTTCATGGAGTTTGCTTTCCGTGTATTAGGACCACAGGACGGGTGAGCCAGTACATGGCATTAAAGCTAACACATCACCGCCTCTCAAGGGCATGGTCCCTTTGGTCCTCCTTTTCCTTTTCGATAAAGATGGTCAGTCCCCCATGCTGTTATAGAGTAGCTGGAAGCTACATGATATGTGCTGTGGTAGGGCAGTCATTTAACGCTCAGCTGCTAACCAGAAGTTTGGTGGTTCAAACCTACCAGATGTTTTGTGGGGAGGGAAAATGTGGCAGTCAGTCTGTTTCTCTAAAGATTTACAGCCTTGGAAACCCCATGGGGCCATTGTACCCTGTCCTACAGGATTTCTCTGAGTCAGTCTCCTGGACAGCAGACAGTCGATGATGCATTCCAAGCCCGAGTTGCTGACCCAGGCGAATGGCCCACTTGAGTCTTTCAGCAACCAAACAGAAGCGAAAAGATCATGGAAAGACCTGAGAGGATTAGCAACTGTTTGCAGTCTTCAAAGGAACGGGCACATACTGCACATATCCTGCGTAGACCCATGTACTCTCCAGGTGGAGAGATTTTATTCAAATCGTTCTCTATACATAGTACATACATGCTTATAGGTTTCTTTTTCTACAGGACATAAAAGACGGAGAAGTTATGAACGGTGAACAGACGGAATTCGTGACATCGCCAAAAATTAAGGATGCATTGAGGTATTGTCTTCCTGTGAATAAAGTACTTCTATCTGCTGCATAGTTAATATCTTATTCTTATTTGATACAAAAGATCAAATTAAATAGAAGTGTGGGGCAAATTCATTCCGAATTGGTCGCGAACAGGGTCTGTGGAAGAGAGGAAGACCCCAAACAAGATATACAAACGCAACGCAATGACCACATCAGTGGGTTCAGCATGCCAGTGATGCTGGGCATCGGGCAGACTTGCACGGGCTTTCCTTGTATGACACACGGGCTCAATGTGAGTCCGCGTCAACACCATGGCACCCAAGGACAGCAGCAAACAAAATGGAGATAGTATTAAAGCCTTCTTCAGAGCATGCATATGAGGATTAAATGAGTTAGGATGAGGATTAAATGAGTTAAATGAGAATTAAATGAGAATTAATTGAGCTAATATAAGACTTCAAAATGTTTGTGGGGATAAATGTAATTGAAAGATAATGGAATTTTTGTCTGTCTGTTTCTTGAACTTTCAGAAAGTTCCTGTACATGTGGCGCACATTCCGTGCCTCTAGCAGAATGGGGCCTTTGAGGATTTATTGGTGTTGCAACTGCTATTGTTATTTGTCATCATTATCTTTATTATTGCCATGAATGTTATCATTGATATGATATTTCTCTAAGGCTCTAAAATTTGGTGTGAGGAATATAATTCTGCTTTTAATGTATTATTGGCTTCAGCCTCAGAAGGTGAGGCTTCTGTGGTTGACAAAATTCATTTGATCATGTAGCCAACATATTCTTTCAGTTCAGTCCAGTTACTAATAGGTGCCAAATATGTTGCATGGAATTAACTTTAAATATATAAATGAATTATTGTATTATATATGTATGTGTACGTGTTATAAGAATTCATATCACCAAAAGGTGATTTCTCTTGAGATTTGTAATTTTCACCTATATGATCATATAACTATTTATCTATTTAGATTATGCCTCTTTGATTAACCAGCTGCACAATATTAAAAACTTTGGTACAAAAAAATCACTAGCACACTCTTGTTCAGAAGTTTGATAAGATGTTTTTTGAGATAGGAATAAAATAAGTGTACTATTTTCTATGTGCACTTAACTTGCTCCTATAAAAAAAAGTATTAACTTTTCATAAAATGTGTTACGATCTGGCAAAATCCAAGATGTGAATACAACATCCCAACATGTATCAGGGGACTAATAGAGAGGTCTGCAGGTCTGGCCTCAATTCCAACTATGTGAACCGCCCCAGTGGCCCCCCACCCCCACCCCGAAGCATACTCTTCAGAGGACAGCACTGAAGCTCCAGCTTGGGGAGAGGGGTACTTCTGATCAGAGCACATAGGAGAAATGAAGAGGGCTGAAGAGGGAGGGGAACACATCCTGGTCTATCAAGCCCTGAGAATGATAGTCTTTTTTCTTTTTTAATCATTTTATTAGGGGCTCTTATAACTCTTGTTACAATCCATACATCAATTGTGTCCAACATAGTCGTACATATATAATCCATTGTTCTTTTCTAGACATTTCCATTGAGCCCTTGGGATCAGCTCCTCTTTTTACCATCCTTCCCCGCCCCCAACCCTCATGACGCCTTGATAGAGTGTAGATTGTTAATTATTTTCAAATCTCACACCAACGGCTGTCTTCCTTACCCTCTGGTTTCTGTTGTTCTTCCCCCTGGATGGGGGTGTGTGCTTACGTGCCATTCATTGTGATCGGTGCCCCCTCTCTTCCCATCTGTCCCCCACTTCCCCATAACCTTTTGTTCTCTCTATCCCCATGCCTGTTCCTGGGTTCCATGTCGTGTGAGTTTTATCTCTTACCTATACTATGTTCATGCTCCCATCTCGTCTAGATTGGGAAGCGGCACTGAGGTCGTGATAGCTGGGATTTGGTGGGAGTGGGGGTGGTGGTGAGGAGGCCTCAGGGGATCAGAGGTATATTGTGTGACCCATTAGTGCCCTACTGCACCCTGATTGGCTCGACCCCTCCCTGCAATCCTCCGTCGGGGGATGTTCCATTGTCCATAGATGGGCTTTGGGTCTCCGCTCCAACCCTCTCCATTCTCAACAATGCATTTTTGTTTGTTTGTTTGTTTACTGTTTGTTGTGAGTCCTCTGATGCCTGGTGCCTGGTCTCAATACCTCACAGTCCCACCAGCTGGTGTGCTTCTTCCAAGTGGGCTTGTTGCTTCACTGTTGGATGGCTCCATTTGCTTAACTTCAAGCCTTTAAGACCCCAGACACTGTATCTTGTAATAGCCGGGCACCATCCTCTGTCATCACCACATGTGCTCATGCACCCAATTTGTCTCAGCAATCATGGGGGTGGGGGACTGACCATCACTGAATGCCAGTTTGTTAAAACAAAGTGTTCTTGTTCTGAGGGAATGTATGAGCCGAGGCCCAAGGTCCATCTGCAGCTTCAGCGTATTGCTTTATAAATATATGTACATAGGCCATTTATCTGGATGAATGTATTTACATAAACCCACACCTCTGTTAATCTCCCTGTCTATGCCTTTGCTTCCTAGCGTTTTCCTTTGTTTCCTTTTGCTTCCTCCTGCCCTGCCATCACTTTCCCCCTCCTTCCACCTCCTAGCCCTTCCTCTCCACTAGCTTGGTGTTGTTCTATATTCCTGCTCAGAGCAGACAATGCACAGAGAGGGCCATAGGGAGGTCCCACCATGAGACATGACTTCCCTCACTAAACCATAGCACTATGGTGGACAACAGTGGGAATTGTGTACAATCTGGCCCCATCACACTGGGGCAAAACACTAAGGGCATGCAACAGAGCAGCAAGGGGAGAAAAGTGATGATATCCCTGGGGAATACCAAAAATTGACTTTGGAGACAGTGTGGCACCCCATCAGACTCAACTGGAAAACACTCATAAAGGCCAACAAAGAGACCTTAAACTATTTATAGGTGTTTCCATTTTTGTCAGGGGCTTGCTTTGTGTTATTTTGTTTTTTAGGTTTTTGTTTTGTGGGTCTTGACTTCCTGTGCTGTTTTGTTTGGCTTTGCCTGGCTTTTGTGCTTATTAATGTCTCTGCATGTCTTTCTAGATAAGATAGGCAGGATAAGCAATTCGGAGACGAAAAGAACAGGACCAATGGTTCCGGGGGAGATACGAGAGAAGGGGAGGTGGGAGAAAGGAAGGGGGTGGGTTGGGAACCAATCCAGGGACAAGGGCGCAAGAAGTGAACTAAACTCAGTGGAGAGAGGGACACAGGATGCCTAGTGGGGCTTAATCAAGGGCAATGTAGCTGTGAGGTGTTACTAAGCCCGAACATGTTGGTGGGACAAGAAGAAAGTAAAAAGGAAATAAAGGAAAGAACCAGGAGGCAAAGGATATTTATAGAGGTCTAAATACAGGCATGTACATATGTAAATGTATGTATATATAAAACGAGAAGGGAATAGATCTATGTATTCATATCTATATGTTAATAATTAAGGTAGCAGATGGACATTGGGACTCTACTCAAGTACTCCTTCAAGGCAAGAACACTTGGTTCTAATAACCTGGCATTCCATGATGCTCACCTTCCTGACACGATCGCTGAAGACAAAATGGTGCATAAGCAAATGTGGTAAAGAAAGCTGATGGTGCCTAGCTATCAAAATATATAGCATCTGGGGTCTTAAAGGCTTGAAGATAAACAAGTGGCCATCTAGCTGAGAAGCAACAAAGCCCACATAGAAGAAGCATACCTTCTTCCTGTGTGATCATGAGGTGTCAATAAGATCAGGTATCAGTCATCAAAGACCCAGAACCAAAAAATCATATCATTGTGAATGAGGGGAAGTGTGGAGTAGAGACCCAAAGCCCATCTGTAGGCACTGAACACCCTCTTACAGAAGGGTCGCAGGGAGGAGATGAACCAGTCAGGGTGCAGTGTAGCACCAATGAAACATATAACTTTCCTCTAGTTCTATAATGCTTCCTCCCCACCCACTCTCATCCCAATTCTACCTTATGCAAATCTGGCTAGACCAGAGATTCTGCACTGGTACAGGGAATCTCGGACCATAAACCCTTCTGGACCAATAATGAGAGTAGCGATACCAGGAGGGGAAGGGAAGATTAGGGGGAAAGGGGGAAACCGATCACAATGATCTACATGTAACCCCCTCCCTGGGGGACAGACAACAGAAAAGTGAAGTGTAAGACATGAAAAAATAAGAATAATTTATAAATTATCAAGGGTTCGGGAGGGAGGGAGGGAGGGAGGGGAAGGGGAAAGGGGAAAAAAGGAGAAGCTGATACCAAGGGCTTAAGAAGAAAGAAAATGTTTTGAAAATGATGATGGCAACAAATGTCCAAATGTGCTTGACACAATGGATGGATTGTGATTAATGTTGTACGAGCCCCAAATAAAATTCTTTTTTTAAGAAATAAAATAAAACATTTACCATTTAAAAAAAAATCTGATGAAATGCCACTTGTATGCCTTATAACTGTGTGAACTAATCAGCTAAGTTTTCTCCAGGAATAGAAATTTGAGAGAAAGGAAATATACAACTTCAAAATGTTATTATTAAATTATGTATGTATGCTTATAATTTTCTAAAAATAGCCTTTTGCTTTCTATCTTTTTTTAATCACTGAGGTAAGCTCATCAAACCGACTTTCTGCCATTAAGTCCATTTGACTCAGAGCAATTAGTCACAGTGCCCGCATTGGGTGCCCAGGGCCATCTATCTATCCTTATGGAAACCCACAGCTCCATCTCACCCACAGGGTCACTGGTGAGTTTACACCTTGACTTGTCTTAGAGCAGCAGAGCCCTTTAAGCTCTCTGTCACCAGGCTCCTTAGGAAGCTAGGGAACTGCAAGTCGATGCAATTAACTAACTGCTAAAAACCCCAATCCCAGCCATCGTGCTGCAAGGGCTCAGGTGCTCTGCTGGTAACTAAAAACATTGACAGTTCAAACCCACCACCTGCTTCACAGGAGGAAACACCTGGTGGTCGGGGTCACAGGTAGCA